CTTTCCCAGTATGTCTCGCTCTGTATTTTACACATAAGGCCATAAAAAAGGTCAGTTTTTCTGCTTTTCCAGGGTTTGTGAAAAGAAGGCATTTTCTGATGGCTCTTTGAAGCCTTCAGGATTTAGAAGAGGTCAAGTGCCTTCAGAGTTAACATTAAAAACAAAAACAAAACAAAACAAATCATACTTTAACTTAACTTCCTGTTTGAAAAGATTCAGAAGAACAGACGTGCTTTCTCAAGCATCCTTCTTTACGAGGAATAAAGATAACATATTTCTCCAGCCCATCCTGTCTGGACAATTTTCAGTAAACATCCTAAAAGATGCACTTGCTCCCCCAAGGATTCACAATGTGGACACACCTCTGAATTTGTCTCATTTGTCTGCTCAGTGTTATGGTCTCCTGGGTCTCTTTCTACCTTCTATCTCTAGGTTAGGACTTTCTATCTTCGTTTATAAAGTATTTAAGAATAGAGATTCCATTACTCAGCCATAAAAAGAAATGAAGTTGAGTTATCTGGAGTGAGGTGGATGGACCTACAGTCTGTCATACAGAGTGAAGTAAGTCAGAAAGAGAAAAATAAATACCGTATGCTAACACATATATATGGAATCTTAAAAAAAAAAAAAGGTTCTGAAGAACCTAGGGGCAGGACAGGAATAAAGACGCAGATGTAGAGAATGCACTTGAGGACACGGGGAGGGGGAAGGGTAAGCTGGGACGAAGTGAGAGAGTGGCATGGACATATATACACTACCAAATGTAAAATAGATAGCTAGTGGGAAGCAGCCGCATAGCACAGGGAGATCAGCTCGGTGCTTTGTGACCACCTAGAGGGGTGGGACAGGGAAGGTGGGAGGGAGACACAAGAGGGAGGGGATATAGGGATATATGTATATGTATAGCTGATTCACTTTGTTATAAAGCAGAAGCTAACACACCATTGTAAAGCAATCATACTCCAATAAAGATGTTAAAAAAAAATACAACCCGATTTAAAAAATAGGCAGAAGACCTGAGTAGACATTTTCCCAAAGAAGACATACAGATGGCCAAAAGGCACACGAAAAGATGCTCAATATCATTAATCATCAGAGAAATGCAAGTCAAAACCACAATAAGCTGTCGCCTCTCACTGGTCAGAATAGCTATCATGAAAAAGAACACAAATAACAAGTGTTGGTGAGGATGTGAAGAAAAGGGAACCATTGTATACTGTTGATGGGAATGTAATTTGGTGAAGCCACTGTGGAAAACAGTATGGAGGTTCCTCAAAAAACTAAAAATAGAACTACCATATGATCCAGCAATTCCACTCTTGGGTATATACCTAAAGAAAACAAACATATTTATTCTGGAAGATATATGCACCCCAATGTCCATAGCAGCACTATTTACAATAGCCAAGATATGGAAACAACCTAAGTGTCCATCAACAGATGAATGAGTAAAGAAGATGTGGTACATATATGTACAATGGAATACTACTCGTCCAGAAAAAGACTGAAATTTTGCCATTTGTAACAACATAGATGGACTTGGAGGGTATTATGCTCAGTAAAATAAGTCAGAGAAAGACAACTACTGTATAATACCACTTATATGTGGAATTTAAAAAATAGAACAAACTAGGGAATATAAGAAAACAGAAACAGACTCACAGATATAGAGAACAAAGCAGTGGTTACCAGTGGGGGGAGGAAAGCAGGGGAGGGACAAGATAGGAGTAGGGGATTAAGAGGTACAAACTACCAGGTATAAAATAAGTAAGCTACAAGGCTATATTGTACAGCACAGGGAATATAGCCAATATTTTATAATAACTATAAATGGAGTATAACCTTTAAAATTGTGACACTATGTTGTACCCCTGAAACTTTATTCTATTTCAAAATAAATTTCTTTATATTAAAAAAAAAAAAAAAGAATAGAGATTCCTGGGCTGTGCACAGTTGTTTCTCTGAGTCCAGCAGTTCACATAAGATCACTCTTATAAAGGTGGTCATAAAACGTCAACCGAAAGGAGGTTTCAAACAATAAGAGCAGAGTTCCCAACCATCACATTTAGATTTATATTCTGGACTGAATAAGGGTCTTCATTACACGTAGACTCAAAATAACATGAATACATTAATCAACATAATAATAGCTAACATTTATGGAATGTTCACTATGAGCCCAGGAGGGTCTGGTGTGGTTTACACGCGTTATTTTACTCAAAGTTCACATTAACTCTATGCAATATGACAATTACTGCCTTCCACATGGGAGACATCTGAGGTGCTCAGATGTTAAGTAACTTGCATGTGGTTACACACCTATTGTAAGTGACCCTGTTATTGGCCCACCTGAAAGAGTGGTGTTGAGTCGACTTTAAATCCATCGGATCCGGGCTGATTCACTAACAAGATAGCTTCAGGGTCATCCACTGCCAGTTTGGCATTAAACAGGACATCTCCGAAACTGGTGGCTTGTGTCTCTGGCTGAGCTTTGTCCTTTAGGCAATAAGGAAAATAAGGATTGCTGTAGATAATGCCAACTTTTGCAAATGCAGAAAGTTTTCCTATTAGTTTTGTGCAAGTACCAATTACAGTAAGTCCCCTACATATGAACCTTCAAGTTGCGAACTTTCAAAGATGCAAATGTGCATTCGCGTGTCCAATCACATAAATTCACGTTCACGTCTCTGGGGTACACTGTCATGTGCTTGCATTCTCTACAAGTGGTTGTGCTTTTGTGTACTTTACTGTACAGTACTGTATAGAGTACAGTAGTACAGTATCTTTATTTCAAGCCCAGGATGTCCAGAAACAAGCGTAAAAACAGCAGTGACGTAGCTGCTACAGTATAGCTGATTGTGTAAGTTGGGTATCTAGGCTAACTTTGTTGGACTTAGAACAAACTGGACTTCTGCACGCGCTTTTGGAACAGAACTCATTCATATGTAGGGGACTTACTGTACCATAAAATGCCACCGTTTGGTTTCATTTAAAAAGATGCTATTGTTTTAAAACAGAAGACAAAAACAATTAGCTTTGAGTATCTACCCAGTTCATTGTTTGGGCCAAAGCACTTACCACAATTTTAAATCTATATAAGAGTGAAGGAGAGCCAGCCAAGCAACCATATTCTGCATTCTTTGGATTATACTTGGGAACGTAGCCATCAGCTCCGGTGCACAGGAACACCTTCTCAATGCTGCAGTAAAAGGAATCACCTAGATTCTGGACAGGATCCACCATGACCCGACCATAAATTGTATCGCCTGAAACAGAGACGTGGAAATGCTATGTCTGTTAAGTGATAAGGTATGTCTATGTGACGCTGCAAACAGTTTGTGACAATAATGACACTAGAAAGCATTTCCTTCTCTTCCTCATCTGGCATCAAATGTTGAAGACCTTTTTGCGTTAGCTTCAGGATCTGGTCCACTCCCAGGCCTCAGATGAGACCACCTCGCAGACGACCACACGTACTGGAGACTTATTGACCCTCACGTGCTCAGCCTGTAGTGGGAATAACCTCAAGGCTTGGCCTATAATTTAACATCCATGACATCCCATTGTGGTTAAAGTCCAGTTTACATAAGTATATTAGCTGGCAAGATATAGGCAAATCATTACAGAATAACACTAAAAAAGAAAGCATCAATAAAAAGCTGAACTAGCTTTATTTGATTTTTAAATTAAAAAAAATTTTACTGAAGTGTAGTTGATTTACAATGTTGTGTTAATTTCTGCTGTACAGCAAAGTGACTCAGTTATACATATATATATATATATATATATATGCTTTTTCATATTCTGTTCCATTATGGTTTATCACAGGATATTGAATATAGTTCCCTGTGCTATACAGTAGGATCTTGTTGTTTATCCATTCTGTATATACTAGTTTGCATCTGCTAATCCCAAACTCTTAATCCTTCCCTCCCCAAACCCAGCTTTATTTGATTTTGAAAGAGGGTTTAAGGAAACTCCCTGGTATTTCATCATCTCTTTCACAGCTACTACTGAACATCTACCATGTGTACTAGGTATTTTGCTAGGTTCTGGGAATATCCCACTAAACAAGACAGTCACAACCCTTGCCCATGAACTATATATTCTCATGTAGCTGCAGTATTGGTGTATATGTAAATTGAAAACATTCAAGGAAAAAAATCCAGACTTGTTTCAAAAGTCATTTAGATAAGGGAAACAGAGGTTAACTTCCCCAGAATAAAAACCATCCTGTAACATATATCCAATTTCAGTGACCCCTCCCTGCCAAAATGCTAAAGACCCAGTTATAATCTCAAAACCATAAAGGAGGTTATAATTGTCCCCCTCAAACACAATCCCAATAAAGGACAACAGATATAATGGCAAACAGATGAGCAGGCCTCTCATGTGTAAAGTGATACCTTCTGCAAAGGCAACATCACTCTCTTGTCCAAATCCCATGGATCCATCAGACAACCAGAGACTCTTCTTGGAGAGTAGGTACATTTGGGTGTTCAAGCTAAACTCAGCTGCCACTGGATCACTGACCTAAAACCAAGTGTAAAGGCCCTTTTATGTGTTGTTGATGGTTCTGGTGGTGCACAAACACATTATTTGCAGATACACACATGCATTGTACGCTGACATAAAGAATGGTAAACACTGCACTGAAATTTTCATGTCCAGCCAAACCACCTTCTTAGGGAATTGTAACACTGACTTTGCTCTTCTTAGGAAGACAAAACTGTCAAGGTTAAATCATTTTTCGAATGGGACTAACTAGCATTGCTTGAGCTCATTTCCCCTGGTTTACTGGAATGTATAAGGGATTGTAAACAGTGGAAGGCCAACGTTTAGTAAGAGTCCTTGGGCAAAAGATGCCATCACATTTCTTTGAATACATATTGGCAATTAGGCACTCTGAGGTGGCATGAACTACAGGATATTTATTCTCCTTGATGATCAAGAACAAGATAAAGAAGTACAGAACTCTGGGGAAAATTCTCAAATCTCCAAGGCAGCAAACTCCAGGAGATCAGATCCCATAAGAAAAAAAAATAACCCTTGCGTACTCTTAACCTGTGGATTTTATATACCGAACCCGCAACGGATAAAGGGCAATTCTTTCTTCCTTCCTTCCTCCCTTGTTCCCTTCCTGCCTGACTTCCTTTTTTTCTCAGCATGTAAGAATTGAAGTCATTGGGTGAGAAAAACAATTTTTTTTTTTTTTTTTACTGATGAAAGTTAACTATGACTTTAACAAAGTGGGCTTCTTACATGGGAAAAGAATTCTATGAGACACACCTGTTGGAATCGGATGTCAAGGTCAAAAGTGATAGGCTCTCTGGGGTTGCAGTTGACTGGCAGGCGGTACTCCTGGTGTGATGGAGTGGTGCATGGCAGCAGTTTTACAGTATAGGTCCCCGAGTAGTCACGTACCTTTAAGGAGCAGAGAGGACATTCGTGTTTCTCATTTAAAAACCTGAGATGTAGTCAAAGGCAGCAGCAAGGGAAAATTAAGAGGCTTAGTCACTTACTGCAAAGTCAGATACAAAGCTCCATTGCTGGACTGGCTGGTTATAGGTTGGTTCACTCCTTATGAGACGTAGGGAAAACATTAGACCTGGGTGATCAACTGACATGATCATGGAGCTGGTGAAGGCCGCTAGAAAAATGCCAAGAACAATAATGGTCTAGTGGTTAAAAGAGTGCATAACAGTTTGGAGTTTTCAAAGTGCCTTATGATCCCTTATTTGCATTTATTCTTATAATAAGCCTGCAAAGTAGCAGGGTTGGTATAATAACCCTCATTTCACAGTTAAAGAAACTGGGCTGAGAGTGATTGTGTGACTCCTGCCAAAAAATAATTGTACAGAAATGCTCAAATAGTTCAGGGCTACTTTCCAGGGGGGCACAGCCGTTCAATAAAGGCTGATGTGAATGCGCTCATTATGCACTGAAGCTATGAACAGAACCTCAGACTATTTGCATCCACAGAGCCAGGCACACCCAATTTATAAATGGAGTCTAATTTTAATTAGATTGCCTCAATCATATCTAAACAAAGATTCAGTTTAATAGAAAGGTAGACACGTGGAAGGGAACTGTAAAGACCAGGAAATCCTCATTTTCCAGAACAGTCAATTACAATAAAGCAAAATGATTCTTTTTGGTTCTGTATTTCAGGGCTCAGACTCACAAAAATACAGCAAACTGTCTTTCTCTTCCTGAATTTTCAGCCTTATTCTCTCCGACTGACCCAGAAAAAAGAAGGACACAGAAGACAGTGCTTGAATTATTTCCCTCTTCCAATCTGACATGAGTTGGCACACCAGTAAGATGTGCAAACCAGTTTAGTAATGCGAAGTCAAATAAAAAATGATTTCTAATGAAATGAAATTTTTTATAAAAGCTTAGACACGGGACATTAGTGACTGCCACATTATTGACATTCACAGCACAATCCATCAAATTAGTAAAATTATATAGCTAATACTTAAGATAATAAGTTAACGTGTCTGAAACAAGTGTAACAGTGAAGTGGCACTTCTGTCTCCATTATAAAGTTTTCTTACAGTACCTAGAAAAGAGCTGTGCTCGCTGAACAAATGACCTAAAATTCAAATTTCTGGACAACACATTTGGAGTAGAGAACGGGAATGTTGTGGCTACGTTCTCAATCTAAAGGAAAACTCTTAAAATTAACTCAGTAGAGTTTTCTTTTCTTTCTTTTTTCTTTTTTTGGCCACGCTGCGCAGCTGGCAGGATCTGAGCTGCCTGACCAGGGACTGATCCCAGGTCACGGCAGTGAAAGCGTGGAATCCTAACCACTAGACCACCAGGGAACTCCAAGTAGAGTTTTCTTTTAAATTTACTTTAACCATTTGGTATTTTCTCTAAAATTCTACAGTGATGATTTTGTAGCTTGTAAGACGTAGCTGAGTAACGATCAAGCCCTCATGTAGATATTTGTGCATACATGGTTCGTTTGAAATTAAGGGCTTCAAAGCTCATAAGGAAGCATGCTGAAACATGTGCAAATATGGAACAACTATATCCTTGTTGTGTGGGGAGCGGCTATTTAAGGGTAATGGGGCTTACCGGGATGTGACAGCACAAACAAGCCATGGAATTGAGCCTCTGTCTTGAAGTTCACGACCAAACGCCCCTCTTCACCGATGCGCATGCTAGTTGGGTAGAGAGAACCTATGATGGGATGGGACACAAGAGTGGGAATATTGGTGACCAAGGACTCCTAATGTCTGGGGTTTCTTCCAAAACCAAATTCGGGTTCCTCTCATCTGTAAGCTTTCTAGCCAAAAGATTCTGAGTGATCAGAGAGGCAGAACTATTCTTATTTTGTTTTGTTTTGTTTTCTAACAGGAAAAGCTGTCTAGAAGGCAGGCAGAATAGAATAAGGTCACATGAATGAGGTCCATACGAAATATACAGAGTGATTACAATAGGCCAAGATATTTCTTAAAGCTTTAGTCCATAGAAATTAAGCTGTAAATTGAGAGACAGCATGAACTGGTCAAATTTTGAAGATTTGGACATGTAGGTCTGTGCTCTCCAGAGTAATTCCAAATGTTATAGGCTTAATGAAAACTCCAAAACTTCCCCAAGAAATTTAGCAAGGTGACCAAAGTTGGCTACAGATAGAAGAAGGGAACATGCGATTCTTATGTAGAAGCTGAGAACCAAGAGATGGATCTGCATTAAGATTCACTTAATATACATTTCCTAAGGCAAGATACGGAATTAAAACATTTGAAATGATCTAGAGAGATTACTTAGGGTGATCATATTACCTTTCACATAGCTTTAAGGTAATTTTAATCTGTTTAAGACAACACACTTTGAGAGGTCCTATCAACAGTATTTTCCCTCTGGCTCATTAGAAGTAATGATGGTTAGACATGCATGGAACCTGGACAGCAGTATGTGCCTGAAAAGAAACAGCACTAATGCTACTAATGGATTAATTAGCTTCATGCTTGTGGACTTTGAATTATGATTCTGACATCAAGACTGAAACAAAGTTATGCAGATGATTTGGGGGCCCAAATTGTAGTAGCACGCACCACCACTGTTCCAAGACATTCAGCTAAAGTATTATAGAATAATAGAATTTTTAAACTGAAAGAAAATTAGAAGTCTAGTCTATCTTTCATAAGAAACTGACTGCCAAAGGTCAAGCAATATGTTTGAGATCACACAGTTAGTTAGCTATAGACCCAGAACTAGAATCCAGGACACAATTTATACTGGGCTTTAAAATGCATCTCCCATTTTCATAAACAAAAATGTGTAACGTTTTCTTGTGGGTTCATTCCTCACTTTCAATTGGAACTTTTCCTAATCATTTTCTAAAATCTAGAGAGAGAGAGATTGTGTTGAGTAACACATGAATGATTAATCACCTAAAATGGACATTATATTTAACAGTCACGTATTATGCAAAATTTGATGCATTGATATAATTTAAAGAAGTTTTTCCATGACAGAAATGAAATTATTTTAAAATATTGACTATAAAACTAAAATACATTGAAAGGTGCTTCTATTATTTTTAGCTGCAGTAAAAATTTCTCTTAAGTCATTCAAATAGGTAAGAAAACTAGCTTTCCAAGTCTCTGTTAACTCACCTTGGAGTTCAGCTTCTGGGGGGCTGACAATTCCATCAGTCCACAAGATGGCAGTGTCATACACGAAAGTTAGACGAAGCTCTGACTTCAAGTCAAAATGCTGCCAGCCTCCTACCCCAACGGGGGAATGGAACACGTAGGAAACGTACAGAGGGACTCGAAGAGTCACATAGGACTGCACTAGGTTTAGGACCTAAAACAATAAAATTATATCTATCAACACGATTCGGTGTTGCTAATTAAACCAGCTTAATTTTGTGCAAGCCATTTTCTCCTTTCACTTATCTGAAGGTTTTGAGTTAACCACTGAGGAAAGGAAATGACAGCATTTATAACACTACTGTCCCCCTCACTTAATTTTGGAGTAATTAAATAGTTATTACTCTACTACTTTCCTTGGCAGCAAAGGATAGGCAGCAGAAATCTTTAAGCTAAAGTACATTATTTTGAGCGTACTAAAACAGTGCTTTTTTTTTGTAGCAGCTTTATTAAGATATGGTTCATATACCATGTAACTCACCTATTTCAAGTGGACAAATCAATGTTATTTAATATATTCAGGGAGTTGTGCAACTTTCACCGCAATCACTTTTAGGACATTTTCATCACTTCCAAGAGAAATTCCATATCCATTAGCAGTCATCCCCTTATTCCATCCTCCCTCCCCAGTCCCTGGCAATCACTAGCCTACTTTCTGTCTCTAGGCATTTGCCCATTCTGAACATTTTATATAAATGGAATCACACAACATATGGTCTTTTGTGACAGGCTTCCTTCACTTAGCATAATGTTTTCAAGGTTCATCCATAGTGTAGCATGTTTCAATACTTTTATTACTGAATAGCATCCCACTGTATGCCTATACCACATTTTATTTATCCATTCATCAGTTGATGAACATTTGGGTTATTTCCAGCTTTTGCCTATTATGAATAACAGTGCTGTAAGTTACTTTTAAATTATTATATAGAGGAAGAGGAAATAAAGCAGCAAAGACCTGGAAGCAAACATATTTAGTAGTGACATTTAAGATCACATGTAATATTTAAGATGGCTGAAAAATAATTCGTTGAAGTGTCTTCTTACAATTTATACTTTCTTCTTTTGTATTTTGCAGGTGGACTGGGGTCATGGAGGATAAACTAATAATTATTTATTGAGCATCTACCACTTTTCAGACATCGTGTTAAGTTCACAAATAAAGCTACTCAATATTTTCATTCTTCCCCATAGTTATATGTATGTGTGGACGATTGAATGAATGGATAGAGAGATGAAGGATAGAAAGAGAGAGAGAGGAAGCTTAAGACTCAAAGAAATAAAGCAAATTTCCCACAGAAATTTCCCACTTCCTCCTGGAGTAGCCCTGCCAATAATAGACCCCAGTCCTTGGCCCATGCTTTTTCTATTCTTTCACACTTTATCATATTCCAAACAAAGCTGAGGGTGGTCTTAAGATCACCTAACAAAGGTTATCATCCTTAATTCTCAGAACAGCTCTGCAGAATAGCACGGAAAACACAACTATCTTCTTTTACACAAGAGGAAACGGGCTGAGGTCAGATCACACTGCTTACAAGTTTGAGTCAGGTTTTCTGATAGGTCTATTTCTCCTTCCACCCTGAGGTGGCAACAGGAATCATACATGTGAGTTACTGAATAATTTAAAACATGATAGCTCTTATTTATCATTTTGTCATGGGGTTAAAAGTAAACTCCTCAAATCACCAAAATGACAACCTGAATCACCAACAAAAATACATTGAAAGAAAACCATCCATCAAGCAAATTATTTGATTCTCAGCTGTGTAGTAGCCAACACTCATTATCTCCTAACGTGGTCAGCAGGAGAGCCGCCTTTGCACTGAAGTCCTCTGAGATAGCAGTTTCTAAGGGTAGCTATTCCTGCAGTCATTGAGAAATTGATCTTGAAGTGGTTTTAGCACCCTGACAATGTAATGGAGAGTAATTGTCAACCCATATGCCACTGGTAATTAAGATGACTATTTCATCCTGTGATTTTAATAAACACTCATTAAAAAATAGGCTGTAGACATGGATTTCCAATTAAACTTCCTAGGTGCTAAAAATAATTTTGCCAACATTACATTCTATCCATCAGATGTTACTGAGTGTGCTATTTTGGAGAGAACTATTAACATTCACATCCTAGGAACAAGTTACTCGGCTCCCTGACGAATTCTTACTTGATTTCATTTGATCCTTCTGGTAACCTAGAGTTTGATCATTTCTGGACATGGAATCGGCATCTTATTGCATTTTCTTGTTCACCACAGCCAGGTCATTTTGTCTGCTTAGAATCTCTGTCTAAAGGAATTGGAGCCTAAATGGGACTAGGTAGATCACCCAGGTCACTTACCTGTTCGTTCCTGTAAAATTGAAGGACACAGTGCAATCAATGTAACCTCTACAGCGGTCCCCAACCTTTTTGGCACCAGGGACCGGTTGCGTGGAAGACAATTTTTCCTCGGAAGGCGGGCCGCAGGGGGCACGGCTACGGCAGTAATGCGAGCGGTGGGGCGGAGATGAAGCCTCGCTCGCTCGCTGATCACCTCCTGCTGTGTGGCCGGGTTCCTAACGGTACGGGTCCGCGGCCCGGGGGTGGGGGACCCCTGCTTTAGATACCATTTTAATGAACCCTTCATTTTCTTTCAGCCTATTCCACAGGACTTTTAAAAGTATTTGTTTATACTGAAAGAAACGTATGTTAAATCTGGTATACTGCTCTTAAAGAAACTGACATGATGAGTGAGTTTACACGTCCTTACTGATTTGTTTCTTCAACAAAGGCAAACAATAGTTTAAATTCCATATTTTAAAGGGAAAGTGCAAAGTGCAAATGACCCGTGAAAGGTACCATACTGATATAAATTTCTACCACTACTAGTAAGTGACTAATGATGGGCAGCAGGTTTATATTTGGGGAGATATTGCCTGTTGAAGGGACAAGAGAAAGTCTGCTGATCTGTGTTAGATGGTAGAAAAGGGGAAGAATAGGAAGAAAGAAGAGTACCCCAAGAGAAAAATTACATTTACAATGCTGCCCAAGGTGGAATCTATTGTTGAGGAAAATTGCAGTAGTTTTTTGTTTTAATTTTACTTTTGGCTGCTTTTGGGTCTTCGTTGCTGCGTGCTGACTTTCTCTAGTTGCGGTGCGCGGGCTTCTCATTGCGGTGGCTTCTCTTGTTGCGGAGCACGGGCTCTAGGCACGCGGGCTTCAGTAGCCGTGGCTTGCGGGCTCTAGAGCGCAGGCGCAGTAGTTGTGGCACACGGGCTTAGTTGCTCCGCGGCATGTGGGATCTTCCCGGGCCAGGGCTCAAACCCGTGTCCCCTGCATCGGCAGGCGGACTCTCAACCACTGCACCACCAGGGAAGCCCTGGAAGGAAACTTTGGCTTCTTTCCACTTACAAGCCTTTCTGAAGGACTGTGATATCAGAGATGCACAAGGGACCTTGGAATGAGGGAGGGTCAATACTGGTCCACAAATTCTTTAGGATTAAGGACAACTCTATGGGATATTTACAGTATAGAATTATAAATAATCTAAATGACCAGTAATAGAAGAATATTTAAATAATTATGATGGCACAGCAACAAGGTGAAATATGTCGGAATCAAAAATCATTTATGCGAAGAATTTTCCTTGCCATGGGAAAAGAATCACAATATGTTAAGTTAAAAAGCAGTATACAAAATGGTATGGATAATATTATGCTGCTACTATTAAAAATGTGGATGTATATTGAAAAGAGACTAGAAAATATGTCTGTGTACAGTGATAGCGGGATAATGAGTGAATTCTTTTTTATACTTTTTTAGTTTCCCAACTTTCCATGGTAATATCTTTACGTTCATTAGCCAAAAAACCTACACCATTAAAAATATTGACAAATTTGACACAATAGGAAGCAACATACTTTATGAAAGTTATACATTTTGGATTCTTCTTGCCATTTCTTGCAGAATGATTTAGAGTGGCTTACATCTTTTTTTTTTTTAAAAAAGAGGAAATCAGTGTACTAAGTAGAAAATAACAGAATGGAAAGAGATGACTTCTAAAGTATACTCTAGCCCCAAAGGTTTATGTTTCTAAATCAAACACATAGTTTTTTTTAAAAAAGGAAAATTATTCCACTAACCAAGGAACTAAGAAAAAATATTTATACTTTCCCAAAATCAGGCTATGTCTTCTCATGAGTAAATTACAATGTCATATGATTGGAGTTGAATTTTTGTAACTTAGTCATGCTCCTTGAATGGTGTTATCAGTTGCTGTTTACCTAACAAGGTGAGAGTTAAGATTCTGACTTTTTAACATCAATAGTCAGGCTGATGAAAGGTGAAATGAACTGAAGTTCTTTAGTTTCAAGAGAAGTTGTTTTCAAGAGAAGAATCACCAAAAATATCCAATAGTTAAAAAACTTAGTTTAACATTAATGACTATTTTGCATCACAAGTGTTTTTCATTGTGTACCCAAACAAGTTAAAATTTTATTTATAAAATACAGGTCACACAAAAAGGTGGAGCAGAGTAATTTATTTTATTTATCTCTATTTTTCTTTTCCTGCTATATCTGTTTTTACATTTTAGAAAGTAACTATTAGGAGGGATTTTAGTGGTGAATATCATTAGAGAAATTCCAAGTTTCTTCTTCTCGGCAAGTAAAATTGTTAACTTTTATAAGAGCAAGTATTCGACTCCTATAACTCGACTTGGAAGGAGTTTAAGGTCTGTGCCTGGTGTCCTCACTGGGTACCCATTTGGTCCCTGGCACAGAGTAGGTGTTCATTGATTATTTCTTTAATGAACGAATGGGCAACGAACAAGATGGAAAAAGCAGAACTGGTCTTAATATCAGCTGAAGTTAGTTGTAGTCAAACTCCATAAAACTTAATAAAACTTCATTTATTAACTTCGCTTATCTGCTGTTAACAGATAACTATCTTGGATATTTCAGGTGATCCCTTCAGTTTGGTAACTCTCTGTTACAAGTGAAATAATTTGAATATGGGAGGTTAGAGAAGACAGAAATCTTTAAGAGTGTGTTAGAAACCTCTTTTTAATCACAAAATAAAATGCAGGGACCTGGCAATATTTCCAGGCAGTAGCTTTAGCTACTAAGAACACTAAAGATAAAAATCGGTTTGTCATCATGTTCCTGGCAGAAGCAATTACCAGTTAGTAAAATCTGTTTGCATAGTGATTACCTTGATCTAAGGTGGCAAGTCTAGAAAAGGACCAGAAGAGGGAAAGACACATCTATTAGCTGCTTGGCCAGGGCAGTATGGAATTGGCAGAGGACAAATAGACCTGGGGTTATTTCTGTTCTTGTACAAAAGAACAGAGGAAAAAGTTTATTTGCCTTTCTTGCAATTTCATCTGTGACCATAACCATTCCTCACATTCGCCCAATTAAATGACATTTAATTCACTCAATTAAATGTCCAGGTAAGTATCATGATGTGGTTAAGAGCACAGGCTTACAAACGAATTGAATTGGGACACGTCATTTGAATTCTCTTTGCTTCAGCATCTCCAAAAATGGAGACAAAATTCATATTTGTCTCACAGTGTCGTTTTGAAGACAGAATTAGTGGAAATATGTAAAGTACTTACACACGATGACAGGCATATAGTAAATATTAAATAAATGTTAGCTATTACTGTTAGTAGTAGTAGTAATATTATTAGATATTTTCTCTTCTCTAGACCCTAAAACTTGTGAGGAAAATTAAGAAAATATCTCAAAGAGTTATATTTCCTTTACTTTAATATGTATTTTCTTCTCCCTCACCTACATTTAAATAATGTTATGTGTCAGGGGAGGTGAGGATACAGGAGATCTCAATAACTAGAGAAGCAGAAGTTCAAACCCAAGAAAGTAGAGGAAAACGAGAGAGCCATCTCTGAGCTTCACTCTAAGAGTGAACACGCTTTATTAGATGCTATTGCAATTCCATTTACACCGAGGCTTTAAGAATTTTGTCACAAGAACCTGAAATTTCAATGATTTACACTGAATCTGGTCACGTCTATTACGTTGATCACCATGCTTATGTTACTACATTTATTTTCAACAATGCGAAAGCAGAAAAGTCCTTTCAGAAGAAACTCATATAACCAGCTGGCCATCTTACTCCTCAAGGTAACACAAGCCAGTTGGGAACTGGGATGGTTCAGTAATTCTTATATTGCACTCTCTCTTCTCCCTAAGTAGAAAGTAACATCTTTAGCGTTCAGGCAGGTAAAACTTCACTGAACCCGGCAGTTGCCAGTTTTCACCTAGTGGAGTAGAACAGTCGATAGCTCAACTACGGAAGCAGGGTAATAACTTTTCTAGTTAGCAGTTGTAATGGGAAAAAAAAAAAACTGAACTTAACTAAATAGAGGAACAGTGATTTTAAAACTCCAGCGAAGTAAAATTAATTTAGCTGAGCATTTTATAGTGAGGATTGGCTGGAGAGACGGATTTGCATTCAAAATGCCCTTGATACACCAGAAAAGTGGGCAGATATAGGCTTAAGTAGGATAAAGCTTAAGTAGGATAAGTGCAGGGTTTTCACTAGGGAAGCCTGTCTGGGTTGCACGTATGAAAGACAGAAAATTACTGCCATTTGCAGAGAAGATGGAAAACATTCTTGAGGCTAAAAAGTGACCACAGACTAGACGAGACCCACAGAGAAGCTTCATGGGATGAAGTGCTTTTTAACAAAGACCCAGAACTACAATATAATCCTATTACTATGTCCCATTTCGCTTATGCCAATAGAGCCTGTGATTTCGGCAAGATCCTGAGAGAAGAGCATCCAGAAAGAAAACAGGAATGAGTTAATAATGGATTGAAAACAGGCTCTGGGAGGAACGGCCAAAGGAATGGAGATATTTGACCTATAGAGGAAGAGGCGGGGGTAGATGTGTTAATATGAGTCTCTATTCTGAGAATAGGAACTTTTTTCTTTCACGTCTCTCCCAGGTAGCAGAGACAGGGTGGGAAAGAGGGACTTGAAGAGGTAACACTTATGAGGGTTTAAGTAACCTGCCCAAGAAGACGTAGCTAGAGAATGTCAGAGCCAAATATAAGTCCACATTTGCTTGATTCCAATATGCAGGCTCTTTCCACTCTTCTACACTGTCTTACTGTTGGTGTTTTTGCTTGAGATTTTTAGTGATTCATGCAAGTTTCTGGATATTTTGTTGCTTTTAGAGGAGACAGAGATAAAAGTCTCACTACCTTGGAGCCCAACAGTTCCCAGACATAATATGTGGCCATTAGACATCAACACCGGCAGAACCGGCCAAGATTTACAGCTTTGCTCTGGAATTAAACTGATAGTTACTGTCTACATTTCTCTTGTTACTGCTTGTTTTATAGTTTAACATCACAGGAATATGGCACAGAAAAAAAAAAATCCAGCCTCACCTCAGCTAAATCTTGAAAGATAAGACATATTTTGGGTACCATTCAACGTCTTAATGTATAAGTTACATAAATAAGCTCTTTGCTTTAGTCCAGTTGGACAAAGCATGGCTTTTAATTCAAATACTCATCACAAATCTAAGCTACACCCTACATATTTTAGATTCTCTACTGTAACTGCTAATGGAGACCTTGCTTCACCATCATTTTAACAACAACGATGATGGTGGTGATGGGGGGGGGGATTGTGTGTGTGTGTGTATTTTATGTGTAAATGTCTGCCTGTGTAGTATGAAGAGGAATCAGTAATTGTAGAGCAGAAATAACAGTAAGCTTTAAATGAAAATACTTTTGACTATGTTAGTGATGGAGAAATGGACCAGATAGGGAGGAAATGGGGAGAAAACTAGAAAGAAAAAGGGGGAGAAATGGGAGTAGAAGGAGAGAAAGATAGAAGGCGGGGAAAGAAGAAAGAGAGTAAGAAGGGAGAAAAACTAGACTGACCCCGAGGACCCTCATTTGAGATCGTTCATGATGCATCACAGCCATCTGTACATAACACAAGAAATGAAAATGTGTACTTCAAAGAGAAATTCGTATTTGGAGTTTTCTAATATCAGAGTAGATTTGGAGCTTACAGCGTAACTATACAGTGTCCTTTCAATACAAAGATAATGTTACTGACCCACTGCTAAAAAATACATAGATTTTGACACATTGTTATGGAAATAGACATGGATTTCCATACCACTCATGCCAATTACCTGCTCTTTCCTGTGCCTAATAACCTACATCACCAGGATGGAAGACTGGAGCTGAGATTTATTCCAAGTCTACGTTACTGAACAAAAGCAACTGGTTTGTCCAGTGACCAAAGCTCAGATGCTAAACATCCATACCTGTCCATCGGTTCCAATGGTGCCTCCACAGTCCGTGAGCAGCTCTGACATGTCATAGTAGCTAACGAACTCCCATAAGCAGGCTTCCAGGTTCAGATTTCGGTAGAAGCGTAAGGTATTGGAACCCCTGATAGATGAGCTGTACTGGTAAGGATACGTCTCTCCAATTATTTCTGGATTTTTGGTAGCATCAGTCAAGAACCCATGGTGGGTCTTTACTTCAGTATAATCCAGGAGGTTGGAGCATTTGTGGTTTCCAACTCGTGTGCCATCAGGGCTGAGGGTGAGCTCAAAGTTGGAGAGCTCCTTGGTGGAAATCACAGGGAGCATGCCTACAAGGGATTTTTGTAAATCATTGTTACCATTTTTACCAACAGCAAAGGGCTTTGAACACTTTATAATCTCTTTATCTCTTGAGGAGACAAGTGTTATAAAATACTGCAGAGCAGTGATTATAAAAGTGGTATCTTAGGACCCCGGAGGATCCCGAGGATATTTCAGGAGATCTATAACATTAAAGCTATTTTCACGACTCTAAGGTATTATTTGACTTTTCCACGCTTATTTTCTCAGTAGTGTACAGTGGAGTTTTTCAGAGGCTAAAATAAATCATATATTGCAATAGACTGAATGCAGAAGCAGACCTAAGAATCCAGCTCTTTTATTAAGCCAGACACTAAAGATATTTTCAAAAATGTGAAACTATGCCACTCTTTTGTTTTGCTTTATAAATTGTAATTCTTTTTCTTAAAAGTATGTTTTTCGTGTTAACATGTGATAGATTCATTCTTATTTTAAAATTAATGAATAAATACATATTTAACAATTCCTCAATTTTAAATCCAGTAAATATTTATAGCTATAACCCACAAAACAAAAGGTCTTTGTGGCCATAAATAATTTTGAGGGTGTCCTCAGACCAAAAAGTTTGAAAACTACCACTATTCGGTATAGGCTAAGAGTTGGCAAACTTCTGTAAGTATTTTAGGATTTGTGGGCCACAAGGTCTCTGTTGTAACTGCTCAAAGCTGCCATTGCAGAGCCAGAGCTGCCATAGATGATTTGTAAAGGAATACACATAACTGTGTGCACGAAGACTTAATCACGGCCAATGGATTAGAATTTTATACACTTTTCATGTGTCATGAAATATTCTGCTTTCAAAGAAGAAGAATAATGTTTGGTTTCTTCCAAACATTAAAAAATGTGAAAACCATTTTTAGCTTGCAGACCATACAACAACAGGTAGAAGGCTAGATCCAGTCCATGGGACACAGTTGGTTGAGCCCTGGCATAAGCAATGCAGCAAAAAGGACTGTGAAAGAGGTCTTCTCTTGGCACCTTTTCCACCTCTCCCTCTTAGATTCTCTGGCCCCGCAAAAGAACTGGCCAGCTTCTGCGGAGCTACAGCTATCGAATGTTTCAGAAAATGCTAAGTCAAGCTCTAGGAGAAGCACGAGGGACCAATCTCTCTATTAGGAAGAACTATTATAGGTCTGCCCTTCCCTAATGGTCCCTTCTTCCCTCTGCACAACTGAATCACACCTCCCATATGGGTCTAAAGGTAGGGTGGTCAAACATGGACCCAACATTACACTGTAAAGTAAGGAGGTGCAGATTTCTGTGCACCTATGCCCACCAGCATAAATTTGGGTTTGTAATAAGCAGACAAAGCAGAATTACGTCCTTTTCATGAGGCAGGTAAATTCTACCTTGTAGTTCCTAATATTGCCTAATGCTTCCTGTCCTTTAGGTACTTAAAATATAACTAACATACTAAGTAATAAAATTAATATTAATATACTTCAGGAATAAAGCGAATTAAGAGGAATAGAACTTGAAAATGTCTTCTGTACCTGAGGGAATGTTCACAAAATGTGGGTAAAGTTACTGACTCAGAAATTCTGGCCACACTTCCCTATCCAGAGAAAATGGGCACAAAATTTAACATTGTTAATTGCATTTTTTTTTACCTTATATTAATGCCTAGGAAATGTCTTAGTTGTTGCAATAAATACTGGGAAAGAGCTATGAGACTCCAGATATGGAAAAGCAAATAGGTGTTGAAGGCAGGGATTGAGATTCCAAATTGCTTTCCTGTAAGTCCAAGCTCAAGCGTTTTGAAGGCACACTGTGCATATGTCATGAAAGACAGCAAGCACATTAACCAAAGCTTTCACTGTGTTGTGACATGTGTGAAATTTATCTAATTTTAAAGAATGTCAAAACTGTCAGACTTGAGAAAAAAACTGGGCAGAAAGACAACAGAAACACTCAGAAGAAGCAGGACTTGAAGCTTAAGTTGCAAATTGAGCATTTATTGTATGCTTGGTTATTCAGAGTACAGGCAGACCTCAGAGATATTGCAGGTTTGGTTCCAGACCAACGCAATGAGGCAAATATTGAAATCAAGTGAGTCACATGAATTTTTTGTTTCCCAGTGCGTATAAAAGTTATGTTAAAATTTACTAGGATAAAGAAGATGTGGTACATATACACAATGGAATATTACTCAGCCACGAAAAGAATGAAATAATGCCACTTGCAGAAACTTTGGATGGACCTAGAGGTTACCATACTAAGTGAAGTAAGTCAGACAAAGACAAATATCACTTATATGTGGAATCTGATAAAAAAAAAAAAATGATACGAATGAACTTATTTACAAAACAGAATCAGACTCACAGAGCTCGAAATCAAATTTATGGTTACCAAAGGGGAAATGTGGGAGGAAGTGACCAATTAGGAGATTGGCTTGGGATTGACATATACACACTACTGTGTATAAAATAGATAACTAACAAGGACCTACTGTATAGCACAGGGAACTCTACTCAGTTTTCTGTAATAACCTATATGGGGAAGAATCTGAAAAAGAATGGAAAATCTATACATATGTATAACTGATTCACTTTTCTGTACACCTGAAACTAACACAACATTGTAAGTCAACTATACTGCAATAAAAAAATTAAAAACTATACTGTAGTCTATAAAGTGTGCAATAGCGTATGTCTAAAAAGCAATGTACACACCTTCATTAAAAAATATTTTGTTACTAAAAAATGCTAACTATCCTCTGAAGGAGTCTTAATCTTTTTGCTGGTGGAGGGTTTGAAATATTGAGAGAATTATCAAAATGTGAGACAGAGACACGAAGTGAGCAGGTGGTGTTGGAAAAATGGCGCTGATAGACTTGCTGGAAGCAGGGTTGCCACCAACCTTCAATTTTTAAAAAAAACGCAGTATCTGCGAAGTGCAATAAAATGAGGTCTGCCTGTATTCAGTAAAATAAAGCAGGTAAAGAGAAGCCCAAACCACCTCCATGGATTTGCTTACCCAAGTCACCTACCGTCTATGTGGGGCATGGTGACAGTGAGCTTGATGAGGTTTGTGTACTCTGGGTCCTCGGGACCCGTGTAGCGCAATTTAGCTGAGAAGGGCTCTGCTCCCACTATCCCTGGCACCCGGGGCTGACAAAGACCTCGAGGCAAAATGAAGACATTTATGCTAAAAGAAGATAATAGACAACACTTAAAGTATATATTTTTAAATAGGCACTATTAATTTTCTGTGTACTTTAAAATTCTCTGTGAACTAAGGCACTGCTGAGAGTTGATACTATGAGGAAGTAAAAGACCATGACGGGAAAAGTAATCCCAGAAGACTGTTCAATGGCTTCTTCTTAACATTTGGCGTATTTTATAAAGTTTAAGAAAAAATAAATATTATTCAATGTGATATAATTTGTGCTGGACTCCATCTGTTATGGTCATATTCACAAAATCGTCTTAACATGAAGTATAAACAGGCATAGTAAAAATGATTGAAAAACAACAGGAAAAAGTAAGTGTAGTTTAATTAAATGAATGAGATTGTTACCTTAGAATTAAATCCTTAAGACTAGTCATAAAATTTACATTATTTATAATAAAACTAAAAATGCACTCATTCTAGAAAACAAAAACTAGCCTTCTTAGAATCAGAGAGCAAAATATATAGTTTTCTCTATATATGTAATTTCTTACAGTATGTGTATTATAAATTATAACTCATCGTCTTATCTATCTATCTATCTAGAATTTTAACATGAAAATCTTCCTCGTATGTTTGCTTTGAAAGCACTGTAGTGTCTTCATTTTAATACCAAGAGACCGCCCGATGCTGGATCACAGTTTCCAGAGAACTAGGCAATATATAATTCCTTTTCTGTTTGTAGAAAACAGATCAGAATCAGGCCCTAACATCTGGGATGTGTGCTTTATTAATTGGGGGCGACCCTTTTTTTTTGCTGTACGCGGGCATCTCACTGTTGTGGCCTCTCCCGTCGCGGAGCACAGGCTCCGGACGCACAGGCTCAGCAGCCATGGCTCACGGGCCCAGCCGCTCAGCGGCATGTGGGATCTTCCCGGACCGGGGCACGAACCCACGACCCCTGCATCAGCAGGCGGACTCTCAACCACTGCGCCACCAGGGAAGCCCCAGGGGCGACTCATTTTAAGGCATTGTTTAATTTAGTTTTGGTACCAACACAATAGTTCGGTTTTAAGAGAAATCTAAAAACCATACATTCTAATCCTAATAAAAGAACATGGTTACTCTACATGTTGTCAATAAATATTGATCCTGAATATATAATGGTGGGAGGTGGTACATATAACTTTTCTTGCTGCAACATATGCACATCTGAAGTGTTGTACACAAATGGAATTTTTAGAAATAGAATCTTATTAAAAGACTGTTAATTTAAAACTCTGATTTAAACATTCTTCTGCAGAGTAAAGGATTAGTTTATAAAGTGGATTTCCTGTCTCGTCAGTGTTGTCTCCGGCCACATGTATTTTCCACCTCCACTGCGTCCGGGCTCTAGCCCTGACCTCAACCTCCCCTCTAATAACCAAGTATGGACACTAGTACACACCTCTCTACCTGGACTGTCCTTCCCCTCCTGCCCCAGCAAACTCCTGTTCAGCCAGCCACCAGCTGGGAGTGATCTGGCATCACACATGAGCTGCCCTGTCCAGATCTGACCCTTGCGTACCAACGGCTTCATCTCCTGATCTCCCTTCCTCTCCCTTTCATCCTGCTCCATTTCTCTGCTTGTAGTTCCCAGAATACTCCATGTTTTTTCATGCTTCTACGAGTCATTGCTCATGCTTGTTTTCCCCGACTGTTTTCAAGACTCAGCTTAAGCATCTCCTCTTTGATGAAACCTTTCCAGATCCACTCAGGCTAGAACCCATCACTACTACTTTTGCATTCCTGTGTCCTGTCCAGACTAAAATTTGTCTGTTTCTTTATTTTGAGTATGGACTCCTGGAAGGCAGGAATCCTGCCTTATTTTTCATGACAGCCAAAAGCCTGACATACGCTCAGTGATCAAAAAATGCAAAATGAATAAATATTTGTTTTCTAATGAATATTTTTGCGAAAATAGATTATCATTTAAAAATACTTATAGAGGGCTTCCCTGGTGGCACAGTGGTTGAGAGTCCGCCTGCCGATGCAGGGGATGCGGGTTCGTGCCCCGGTCCGGGAGGATCCTACATGCCGCGGAGCGGCTGGGCCCGTGAGCCATGGCCGCTGAGCCTGCGCGTCCGGAGCCTGTGCTCCACAACGGGAGAGGCCACAGCAGTGAGAGGCCCGCGTACCGCAAACAAACAAACAAAACCTTATAGAGTATTACGGAATACATGGGGCATTTGGAGGAATGAATAACTGGAAATTAGACATATATAACATTCCATGGTATTCCAGCGACCTTCGTGTGGAAATGGCCATGCACTACCTTCTTCTCTGCCGATGGTTACGGTAGGGCTCATCAGCTCCAAGCCTTCATTGCCATCGGCATTCACAGCCCGAGCCGCACACTGCACCCTGGAGCCAGGCTGAAAGTATATGGAGTCTAAACTGATCCTCTTGGATGAAGTGAAAAAGGTGTCAAAGTCCACCTCTCTCATGGGGCTGGTCACTCCGTCGGGGCCCGCGGGTGCGCTGATCAGCCATCGGTACCGGGTCAAAGTGTCATTGATGTTCTCACTTGCACAAATGGATCCTGTTTTGTCATAGTCTGGATATTTAGGGTTGCAAGCCTATGGGAAACAAATAACTATGTTAGGGCCACAGTTTAGAACAAGGCGGAAATTATTCCTCTTAAGTTCTCTCTCCCTTAGTGTTTTCACTGCTACTGTTTTTCCATTTCTACATGTTATTCATGCAACTTTCAAATTCCTGGTCCTAGTGATGCTAGCTTTTATGAACTCTAATCTTGCATTTCAAACAGCTTATTGGCCTTTTCCACCTTTAACCTGATACGAGTAAAAGTGATACTCATTTCATCATCTCTTGAATCCTCAGAGTTGTCGAATCGTCCTTGTTCTCTTCTCTCTCCCTCTCTTCTCACTCTCATTTTGCCCCCAACATCCAGTGGGTCAGTGAACTTGGTTGATTCTTTTTTGTAGGCTGTCTCTTAAGTTGGTCTTTTCCTTCCCATTCCAAGCATCACCTTTCTATCTAATTCAGGGCCTTTCTCGTCGGGTGACCACGGTTGCCATGGTAACACTCCAATACAACCCCTCTTCTCATGCCATTCTTCTGTGCAAGAGCTCCCTGCTACCCAACAAATGAAATGCACGTTCCTTAATATAACATTTCAAGACCTCTGTAACTTGCACCACATTATTATTTCTGCCTTGCTAATCCAATAAACATTTACTGTATACCTATTATATGTAGGTCATCACACCAGGGGTATTGCAAAGTAAGAAAAAATGCGTCCCAGTTTTTGCTCACAAGGAGCTTATAATTCATAGGTAAGAGAAGGCAATTGAAAAAGTAACTATAATACGCCATTTGTAAGGCAACCACTTCATACAGAAATGACGTTTCCTTATGTGACTATTTTTTTATTATTTTAACATCTTTACCGGAGTATAATTGCTTTACAATGGTGTGTTAGTTTCTGCTTTATAACAAAGTGAATCAGCTATACATATACATATGTTCCCATATCTCTTCCCTCTTGCGTCTCCCTCCCACCCTCCCTAACCCACCCCTCTAGGTGGTCAATAACCACTGAGCTGATCTCTCTGTGCTATGCGGCTGCTTCCCACTAGCTATCTATTTTATGTTTGGTAGTGTATATATGACCATGCCACTCTCTCACTTTTCGTCACAGCTTACCCTTCCCCCTCTCCATGTCCTCAAATCCATTCTCTAGTAGGTCTGTGTCTTTATTCCCATCTTACCCCTAGGTTCTTCATGACCTTTTTTTTCTTTCTTAGATTCCATATATATGTGTTAGCATACGGTATTTGTTTTTCTCCTTCTGACTTACTTCACTCTGTATGACAGACTCTAGGTCCATCCACCTCACTACAAATAACTCAATTTTGTTTCTTTTCATGGCTGAGTAATATTCCATTGTATATATGTGCCACATCTTCTTTATCTATTTATCTGTTGATGGACACTTAGGTTGCTTCCATGTCCTGGCTATTGTAAATAGAGCTGCAATGAACATGTACGTACATGACTCTTTTTGAATTATGGTTTTCTCAGGGTATATGCCCAGTAGTGGGACTGTTGGGTCGTACAGTAGTTCTATCTGTAGGTTTTTGAGGAACCTCCATACTGTTCTCCATAGTGGTTGCATCAGTTTACATTCCCACCAACAGTGCAAGAGTGTCCCCTTTTCTCCACACTCTCTCCAGCATTTATTGTTTGTAGATTTTTTGATGATGGCCATTCTGACCGGTGTGAGATGATATCTCATTGTAGTTTGCATTTCTCTAATGATTAATGATGTTGAGCATTCTTTCATGTGTTTGTTGCCAGTCTGTATATTGGAGAAATGTCTATTTAGGTCTTCTGCCCATTTTTGGATTGGGTTGTTTGTTTTTTTGTTATTGAGCTGCATGAGATGCTTGTAAATTTTGGAGATTACTCAGTTGCTTCATTTGCAAATATTTTCTCCCATTCTGAGGGTTGTCTTTTGGTCTTGTTTATGGTTTCCTTTGCTGTGCAAAAGCTTTGAAGTTTCATTAGGTCCCATTTGTTTATTTTTGTTTTTATTTCCATTTCTCTAGGAGGTGGGTCAAAAAAGATCTTGCTGGGATTTATGTCATAGAGTGTTCTGCCTATGTTTTCCTCAAAGAGTTTGATAATGTCTGGCCTTACATTTAGGACTTTAATCCATTTTGAGTTTATTTTTGTGTATGGTGTTAGGGAGTGTTCCAATTTCATACTTTTACATGTACCTGTCCAGTTTTCCCAGCACCACTTATTGAAGAGGCTGTCCTTTCTCCACTGTATATTCCTGCCACCTTTATCAAAGATAAGGTGACTATATGTGTGTGGGTTTATCTCTGGGCTTTCTATCCTATTCCATTGATCTATATTTCTGTTTTTGTGCCAGTACCATACTGACTTGATTACTGTAGCTTTGTAGTATAGTCTGAAGTCCGGGAGCCTGATTCCTCCAGCTCCATTTTACGTTCTCAAGATTGCTTTGGCTATTCGGGGGTCTTTTGTGTTTCCATACAAATTGTGAAATTTTTTGTTCTAATTCTGTGAAAAATGCCCGTGGTAGTTTGATAGGGATTGCACTGAATCTGTAGATTGCTTTGGGTAGTAGAGTCATTTTCACAATGTTGATTCTTCCAATCCAAGAACATGGTATATCTCTCCATCTGTTTGTATCATCTTTAATTTCTTTCATCAGTGTCTTATAATTTTCTGCATACAGGTCTTTTTTCCCCTTAGGTAGGTTTATTCCTAGATATTTTATCCTTTTTGTTGCAGTGGTAAATGGGAGTGTTTTCTTAATATCACTTTCAGATTTTTCATCATTAGTGTATAGGAATGAGAGATTTCTGTAAATTTGTTAATATGGTTAATCACATTGATAGATTTGCGTATATTGAAGAATCCTTGCATTCCTGGAATAAACCCCACTTGATCATGGTGTATGATCCTTTTAATGTGCTGTTGGATTCTGTTTGCTAGTATTTTGTTGAGGATTTTTGCATCTATGTTCATCAGTGATATTGGCCTGTAGTTTTCTTTCTTTGTGACATCCTTGTCTGGTTTTGGTATCAAGGTGATGGTGGCCTCGTAGAATGAGTTTGGGAGTGTTCCTCCCTCTGCTATATTTTGGAAGAGTTTGAGAAGGATAGGTGTTAGCTCTTCTCTAAATGTTTGATAGAATTTGCCTGTGAAGCCATCCAGTCCTGGGCTTTTGTTTGTTGCACGATTTTTAATCACAGTTTCAATTTCAGTGCTTGTGATTGGTCTGTTCATATTTTCTATTTCTTCCTGGTTCAGTCTCGGCAGGTCGTGCATTTCTAAGAATTTGTCCGTTTCTTCCAGGTTGCCCATTTTATTGGCATAGAGTTGCTTGTAGTAATCTCTCCTGATCCTTTGTATTTCTGCAGTGTCAGTTGTTACTTCTCCTTTTTCATTTCTAATTCTATTGATTTGAGTCCTCTCCCTTTTTTTCTTCATGAGTCTGGCTAATGGGTTATCAACTTTGTTTATCTTCTCAAAGAACCAGCTTTTAGTTTTATTGATCTTTGCTATCGTTTCCGTCATTTCTTTTTCATTTATTTTGGATCTGATATTTATGATTTCTTTCCTTCTGCTAACTTTGGGGTTTTTTGTTCTTCTTTCTCTAATTGCTTTAGGTGCAAGGTTAGGTTGTTTATTTGAGATGTTTCCTGTTTCTTAAGGTAGGATTGTTTTGCTATAAACTTCACTCTTAGAACTGCTTTTGCTGCATCCCATAGGTTTTGGGTCGTCGTGTCTCCATTGTCATTTGTTTCTAGGTATTTTTTTATTTCCTCTTTGATTTCTTCAGTGATCACTTCGTTATTAAGTAGTGTATTCTTTAGCCTCCATGTGTTTGTATTTTTTACAGATCTTTTCCTGTAATTGATATCTAGTCTCATAGCATTGTGGTCGGAAAAGATACTTGATACGATTTCAATTTTCTTAAATTTACCAAGGCTTGATTTGTGACCCAAGATATGATCTATCCTGGAGAATGTTCCATGAGCACTTGAGAAAAATGTGTATTCTGTTGTTTTTGGATGGAATGTCTTATAAACATCAATTAAGTCCATCTTGTTTAATGTATCATTTAAAGCTTGTGTTTCCTTATTTATTTTCATTTTGGATGATCTGTCCATTGGTGAAAGTGGGGGTGTTAAAGTCCCCTACTATGATTGTGTTACTGTCGATTTCCCCTTCTATGGCTGTTAGTATCTGCCTTATGTATTGAGGTGCTCCTATGTTGTGTGCATAAATATTTACAATTGTTATATCTTCTTCTTGGATTGATCCCTTGATCATTACTTAGTGTCCTTCTTTGACTCTTGTAATAGTCTTTATTTTAAAGTCTATTTTGTCTGATACAAAAGATACAAAAGAAAGCTACTCCAGCTTTCTTTTGATTTCCATTTGCATGGAATATCTTTTTCCATCCCCCCACTTTCAGTCTGTATGTGTCCCTAGGTCTGAAGTGGGTCTCTTGTAGACAGCATATATATGGGTCTTGTTTTTGTATCCATTCAGCCAGTCTGTGTCTTTTGGTGGGAGCATTTAATCCATTTACATTTAAAGTAATTATCAGTATGTATGTTCCTATTCCCATTTTCTTAATTGTTTTGGGCTTGTTATTGTAGGTCTTTTCTTTCTCTTGTGTTTCTTGCCTAGAGAAGTTCCTTTAGCATTTGTTGTAAAGCTGGTTTGGTGGTGCTGAACTCTCTCAGCTTTTGCTTGTTTGTATAGGTTTTAATTTCTCCATCAAATCTGAACGAGATCCTTGCTGGGTAGAGTAATCTTGGCTGTAGCTTCTTCTCTTTCATCACTTTAAATATGTCCTGCCAGTCCTTTCTGGCTTGCAGAGTTTCTGCTGAAAGATCAGCTGTTAACCTTGGGGATTCCCCCTTATGTGACTCTTAAACTATTGACATTTTCTTCGGACGATACCAAACCTTCCCTCACAGGTGGAGCTGCTGTTCTATCTCCTAGTTTGTATAATGATCACATCATTTCTTATAGTAGAGTGACTGATTCTTATATATTTTTCTCTCCCTTATGTTTAAATTCCTCGAGTGTAGAGTTCATATCTTATTTATTTTTCTCTCAGTGGCAAACCCTGAGATAATATGAGATAACACACTATGTGTACCTCAGTTAGTAAACCTTTGTTGGATGAAGGAAGAAAAATAGGACCTTTACTTCATCAACAGTTTCCTTTCCAAAGTTCATAGTTCATAGATTAAATCCTGCAGTTTCCCCCCACTTTTATTTCATCATGACAAAGCCCATGCTATATTGGTTAATGTTCATGATTATTTTAAGTATTTTACAATTTTCCTCAACTTCCTACTCACCGTGATACAGACAACAGGATAACCAGACACAGGTCCAGCACTCTCTCTGGCTCTGTAAGTGTCATCATACATCAGTAAGGACACAATTTGAGGGACAGAAGGAAAAGTGACATCTGCCATGCTGTTCAATTCTTCTATGTACACAATGGCTTTGGTGGCCTAGAAAGAAAAGATAATTCTCCATGATTACTGAAATATTAGACTCCTGGTGCTTCTATTGTGCAGAACAATACTCACAATGCTTGGCAAGTCCATGGCTTCATTATAGTAAAAATTGTCACACCCAGAGCCCCTGCAGTGTGACAGGCTCTATGTCAGGCTTTGTTCCTCATGACCCTGGCACCTGGGCCATATCTTATGGTGCAGGGGAGGGTACCTAAGTCCTGGGTTGGCCAGTGGCCCCCAAAGTATTTGGGTTGAATTTTTTTCTCCAAATTGTGATAATAGTAGTTAAGTCTGTCTCGGGGCGGTAAAGTGGAAGATCCATGAAAAAGTCAATTAGTTAATAGTGGGAGGAAAGCTGAAAGAGACCAGGGAGAAGGCAGATCCTAGAGGTCATGTGACAGCATGGACCCTGCTGAAGTGGAAGTCAGGTGAAAAGTGAAGCTTCAGAGGAGCAGAGGACAGAAGCACAGGCAGAGGGAGAAGCTGAGTCACAGACAGAAGAGGAACCTGTGAACATCTACTCGGGGTAGAATGACAAGGAAACCCCACTGACACATTCGCCTTTTGCTCCCGAATCATCTTCCAATATCCAACGATACATTGCAGTTTCCAAGCCTACATTTACGTGTGTCTTCTTAAAAGGGGCTTTGATCACTTGAAGTGATTTGAGTGAATCTCTGTTCCTCTTACTCAAAAGAGTTTAATATGATGCTCCATAAAAACTAAAGACTCACTTCTTATGTGATCAAGACTTACAAAAATATATTTGAAAAAGATTTTCTGCCCCTACTTCTTGAATTTTAAATATGACTTAAAAAAGAAAACCCAAGGCACTGTAAATACCATCAAGTAGTAAAAATTATAAAATATAAAAATACCTGTACTTAAGGGAAAAAAAAGTCTCCCCAATTTGATCTCATGCTAATAGTGAAACACATAATAAAAGAAATCGAGTAAATGTAAGCACAGATACTGTAAACATTGGTCTGTTCGTTAAATCATATAGCTTTAAAAATTAGGCTTAAAGGTCAAAATTCTATGGAAATTACATTTACCTTGAAGAATATCTGGTTGATGAAATAATATAAATTAAATAAACACAGGAAAGAAGTGTTAGGACAGTAACATTTGGGTCACTGAGGCTGGACATCAATTTAATAAAGTTATGATGAGCAGGTGGGAATTTTGAGGGTTAGCAAACTGTTTTGTGGGTTGAAATGTGTGTTTTAATGAGTTGTGGCACTAAATTAATAGCCTCATCTTTGTGCTGAGACTATGCTTTCTCTCTGGAGGTTAATCCCAGATTCAGTCGTTATTGACTAAAATAGGAAAGGTAACTGGGCTGATGTGAGACTCGGAGGATCTAGTCCTTGAGTTTCTACAAACATGATTTTTCAAGAAAGAGACAGGAATTTTTTATTTTGGCTGCACCACGGGGCTTGCAGGATCTTAGTTCCCTGACCAGGGATCGAACGCATGCCCTCGGCAGTGAAAGCATGGAGTCCTGACCATTAGACCGCCAGGGAATTTAGGACATTTTTGTTTGTTTGTTTGTTTTTTCGGTACGCGGGCCTCTCACGGCCGTGGTCTCTCCCGTTGCGGAGCACAGGGTCCGGACGTGCAGGCTCAGCGGCCATGGCTCACGGGCCCA